AATTACCTATCTGCCCTGTAAACTCTTCTGTACATGACTTTGAATTGGCCAGCACTTTAGTGTTGGGGTGAAAGTAAAATACTACAAGAATTGGTGGGCAAGCCTTAAAATTTATTTGATTTGTTACAGTTACATGAGTGACGTTCATAAAATACCCCTATTTAGTTGAACAATTAGGAGTCAGATCGATTTTAGGTAGTGGCACCACCCTACAAGCCTTAATTGGAACTGCAAAATAAGTTCGCGTATCAAATTAGTTAGGAATAAAAGTTAGGGACCACATCAGCACTAGTGAAAAAGTTTAGGGGTGAAATTTATCATTTTTCCCACCATTCCCATTGCACTCCGTCAAACATACAGATTTATTTAGTTTAATCAAAATGTACAATTACAATGGACCGAAGAACTAAAGACTAGAAAACAAGAAAAAAAAAAAGATTGAGTAGTTTTTCACAGTCAAAGGCCTTAAGATAGATATTTTGCTTAATGAGCTCAATTTATTATCTGTTTTAGGAGCCATTTAGAGTTGCAGTAATTTATTAAAAAGAATTTCTATTAATAGAGCTTTTAATAAAAGCAGTTATTAAGTGATTTTAAGTATATTATTTTGATACATAATTCAATAAGTACTTATTGTATTCGATAATAAATAATTTAAAATTGTATTTATCTCTTTATTTGGTTCATAATATAGAATAAAAAAATTAAATTTAGGGATAATATCCGAAACCTCACATGAGGTTTCTCCTAATATCACAGATGAAAGAGGAGAATCAATAGAAGGCTACAGAACCGCAAGCTAAAATTTTTGCAGTCGTCTTTTGCCAATTAGATGCAGGAAGGGAAATTTTTTTTTTTTTTTTTTTGAGAAACACCCCCCCCCCCGGTGAGCTATATTTGAGAGATTTTTTTTTTTTTTCACGTATATTCTAAGAAATTAGCCCAAATTTGATCTTCAACATGTAGAGGTAGTGTGAAGGAAGGAGTAAACATTAACGAGAGCAGATCCTCTGTCCAATATTTAATGTCCAATTTCCTGTCCAATGTGAAACTACGTAGTTTCACTTATTATATCTGTTGATATGGCAACTAAAAATAGGTGGCTGTTTGGCTGCCTTGTACTTCTTTTTCTTTCTTCTTTTTTGGCTTTCCTTTATTTACACAACTTTGTTGCAATTCTCATCTTTTTTTAAAACAAAGTATTAAGGATTTCAAATACAAAAGAATATTTAAAAAAGATGGGAATTGTAACAAAGTTGTGTAAACAAAGGAAATCCAAAAAAGAAAAAATAAAAAGAAGTATACGGCAAACCAAATAGCCACCTATTTTTAGTTGCTACATTAGCAGATATAATAAGTGAAACTACGTAGTTTCACATTGGACACAAAATATTGGACAGAGGATCTGTTCTCAACATTAACACCTTGCCAGCTTCTGCTGTAAACATCCGGCCAGTTTTGCCCCATCATAATGTCACCGTAGTGACGAATTCGGAACACTTTATAATCATCCTTAGATTCATTCATCAAAGCCAAACCCATATCCTACAAGAATCGAGCCAGGACGTTCCAAGTTCGGCGGACTTTCTAATTGCTGAATTCCACAAGAAACTATCTCTGTCTACTGCAACACGTATCAATCCATTAGAAGAACGCACGATCTGAAAATTATACTAACTCCTAATTCGGCTTTTGCATCGAAAGGGATATTCAATGTTGGTATAGTACAGGGAGTAGAGAGCACTGCATGAAATAATGGGCCTCATCACCATAATTGTCATGCATGTTCCTAGGGTGAACATGAAAAATCAGTCTATGGTGATTGTAATCGTTGTTATTGGAAGATTTGTTGAGATGGGCACGGATGAATTGTGGGCTCGAGATTAAGGAAAGCCGTGATTTGGAAATGCACCAGTTTGACTGACCTAATTAATTAAAGCTGATTTCCCACTAAATTGGAGGCAAACTCTGAGGTATCCGATGGTCTGATTTTTTAAGATTAAGATTTTTTCTTAGTTCAAAGGTAACCCGAAGAACTGAAATTCTTTGACTAATAAATCTCCCCATAAAATAGAAATTATGAAAAACTTGGAGATAAAGTATAGATAATAACTCAGAGAAATTTTCATCATTTTGATAATTTGATTAGAATGCAGCTGCAAAACCAAGGATCATATCTTCGAAGGGCTTCAAAGAAGGTAGTTTATACTCAGGTGAACTACCAAACAAACTCTCAATTACAAAACTTTCTACACTTACTATCAGTGACAAAGCCAGGATTTTTTTTTTCGGGGGCCAAAATTTTCTTAATATGCTATGTTCAAAATAATTTCCATCCATTTAAATATATGACATTTAAAAAAATCAAATATTAATTTTAATTATAAATATATATATATAAACTCTCATAATAAAAAGTAAAATTATAAAAAATTAATTGCTTGATATCAAGCATATTAATTGCTTGATATATATATATATGCTTGATATATATATATATATATATATATATATATATATATATATATATATATATATATATATATATATAACACATTAATTGCTTGATATGCTTACTGGGAAGATAGAGTTCTGTAGGCTAGGATTTTAAAATACATGCAGCAAGAAAACCTAAATCCAAAAAAAGAAAAAAAGAAAAAGATATTCAATAACGGTCATATAAGGTCTACAGAATTTAAAAGAAAATAAAAAAGAACAATTTTTTCCAAAAAAAAAAAAAAGAGAACTGACATATGAGGATTGAGGAAAACAAAATCCACCTACTGATTTTCCTGGCGATAAGAGATGACCATTTTATCCCTCCCAGCAATAGAACTCCAAAATTGTATATATAAAACTTTTCATATAACAATAAAAACAATGAGTTTGTTTGGACAGGAGATTATTTGCCATAATATATTTGCTTACATCACCATTACAATTTTCAATACAGTCTTTTATCTTCCCAATTACCTTTTTTTCTTACATACATCACATCACAAAAAGTACTACAGTAAAAATATCTCAAATAATTTACAATCTTTCCCCAAAATCTACTTGTATATCCATTCATTTGCAAGGCCTCCAGACTCATCCCTCCCCATAAAAATGCTAATAGCCCGTAACAAACAGAGAAAACAGAATTCCACATGATTGTGCCTAACAATTTGCCTAGAAACCACGATCATCAGTTCAAAGTTGTGGAAACCTTGAAGTTAAGCTAAGCTTCATTGTTTGCATGATAAGATGAGTGGCATAAGAATTCTTAATCTGATATAAAAATTTATAGACCTGTGGGAAATCTTAATGGTTGCAAACAGGGAAATAGTTTAAATGGATATTGAAGTTCTTAAAGCAATACTGCATTTTCCCATTAGTACAGAATTTTTTTTTTTTTTTTTTTTTTTTAAAGGAAACTGCTATAGGTAGACTTTTACACTCTGCCATGGTTGTTGAGCAAAACTAAGCTTTCATCATACATAATCACTGTCTCAGATTAATCTTCCAGATTGTTAATGCAAGAATATGCAAGGGATTCATGTTTCGGATTGTAAAGTGCCAACCACCTCTTAAACATGCTCACAATTAGGCCGTCCCTTGATTCAAATAATGGTTTGTAGTGTGATGCAGGATCATAAGACAATCCAGTAACCAAAATCACTTTTGTCCAAGATTCCTTCCAACATATTCCTTCATAATCCAAAGATGTGTATAGTGACAAAACACAGAAAGACATCCTCCTACAGCCAATAACGTTCATTTTTTGGTTGTTCCACCTCTCCATAGATCTCATTCGTCAAATCAAGGCTAGCAATCTTCCCCATTATAAGAAATATTTCCCATTTTTTCCTACGGAGCTTCCAATTAACATAATAAATCTCCCCAGTTGGACGACAGTCCCAAGAATCCTCAATAATCTTCCAAGAACTCGTGTTTCTACTATAAACATCAAGCTAAGCGTGCCCCTTTGTGATGTTACCATGAGATCAACTCCAATGAAGTGTCATGGATACAGATCCATTATATACATCATCAAAATGATGCATGTAAATGCAGCTGAAAAAGAGGAGATAGTGGGCCTTTTTTGCAACGGATAAATTTGGTTAAACATAGACAACTGATAAAATTTCATGGTGCAAGTTAACGTTCAAAAACAAATTTTTTTTTTTTGGCAACCGTCATTTTTTTGTTCTCTTTATATAAACACACAAGACACTTTATATATATATATATATATCTCAATATCCTACTCTATTATTTCTCTTACTCTCTCACTCATTTTCCTCAACCTCTTTGCACAATTTTCTAAAATTTCAATATTTTGTGATTATGGATGAGAATTTTAGTAGTTTTAGAAATATGTCAAATGCTCCAAATATAGAAAATTCATCCTACTCACAAAATTAAAACCTCCAAAATTTTCCAAATTTCTCATTTCTTGGTATTCCTACAAAATGTGCAAAATTAATAATATTATTTTTTAGAAAATAAAAAATCCAAAATGTAAAAAATTTAATGAAAGTTTAATAATTTATGTTTAAAAATAATGAAATTATTTTTTAAAAAATTAATTTATTTATGGGATATGAGTTATGTATTATTAAAATAAATATTTGATTTAATTGTGGATTCATACTATTATAGCGCATAGGGTGTAATTTATTATGAGTAAGAATATAAAAAAAGCTGAGACAGTGGAATGCTATATGGCACCATAGTTGCCTTAATGACGAATTTGGAACACTTTATAATCACCCTGTAGTGACTCTAGAAATAAATTATTCAGACATAGTTGAAAAAATGTGGAAATCAAGGCTGTAAATTGAAATTAAAAAAAGTTTATGAGACCATTTGTAGTTATTTAAAACACTAAAGGCCCAACAGAAAAGTTTTGGGCATGATTGTAAGTTTATCGCTTTAATGCCCCTTTTTAAGAGCAACTTCCAGTTTCCACTTTACTTCTTTCTCGTCGCCGTCGTCAAGTTCCGATGCAGGCCACGTTCGTTTCTTTCTTTCTATATTTTTTTTCTTTATTCTACTGGAAAAACAGAAGAAAAGTTTCTTTATTTTTTCTTTTTGGTTAAGTAGAAGAAAAGTCTCTTTACTCTCTTCTTTCTTTCTTTTCCTTCTCATTTGTTGTTTCGTTGAAACTTGAAACCTCTTCTCTCTCAAAGTAGTAATCTAAATTGGAAAAGTATAATATATTCTCTACTACCCGTCTAGTCTGCCTATCGCACAATTGAGGAAGAAGAAGAAGAAGCCCTTTTAAAGGTTCCAAACTGCAGGTTCCCAGGTACTTTAATGTTCTTCCAACAAGTTTAAATTTCTTCTTGGTTCATTGATCGCTCAGACATTTACTAGTTGTGAATATAACTATAAAACAAAAACCCAAAAAATAAAAGTTGACTTTTTTTTTTCTTTTGAAATGGTTGAGTTTTGTATGCAACTGTTCTTTGACCTTGAAGTAAATCTTGATTTGCAATGTGGGATTTTATTAATCAGCAGTATAGTGGATTGTCTTGGTTTGTTTTAAGCATATAAAAGTTTTATCTTTGAAGATTTGATTGCTAATGTTTTCTTAGCTAATTGGAAGAGTTGTTGCTGTAGTTAAGAATGCCAGCTCAAAGAAAACCCGAGGAAATTGTCCCAATACTACTGGCTCGTCTGGAAAAAGCTAAGCAATTTGTAGTAGGGAGTATCAGCGAGAACAGTGAGGGAGACCCTCTGGTTTTGAAATTCAAAGAAATCGAGATTGAACTTGGCAGCATGAAACGCTTGTTCCCCAGGATAAAACATTGGGAAGGGAAACTCATGGAACAGTTCAGAACTTTGGAGCAAGACATCGATGATGATGTTTTCTTTAAACAGCATGACGAGGCTAATGAGATTCTTAATAGATTGAAGCGCATCAGTGAGAGTGTTGTGTCCGTAAAACAGCTATTTTCGGCAGTGGAAAGGCAGCTAATGGATAGAACACGTACGATGCCTTCTTCTGGGATGCAATTCCCTTCTGAGGAGGCTTTTAGGAAGGATCAGACAATATCTGAAGAGTGGTTGAGACTTGGTGTGGAGGAAAAAATTTATGCCAGCAAAGCAATATCAAATTTTCAGAAAAGTTTTGACTGTCTGGAGAGCTATCAATTGAAAGCATGCTCCTTGTGCCTTTCAATTTTTCCTGAGAATAGCATCATAAAGAAGAGACCCCTTATTTACTGGTGGATAGGAGAGGGTATGGTCACTAAAACCTCAGAAAAGACTGCAGAGGAGGTTGGAGAAGATGTCTTTAATGAATTGATAAATGAAAGCTTCATAATCCCCATATTTGAGAACCTTTCTCCCAATATAAACACTTTTATTGTGCACCCTTGGATTCGAAGAATGCTGATCTTGGTTGCAAAAAGACTTAGCTTTTTTGAATTTACTCCCTCAGGGATGCCTAGCAATGGTCATCGTCGTGCATTCTTATTGGCGGGTGGTAGTGATTCATACAGCACAATGACCGAGGATACTCTTATGGTTTTCAACGTAAATGATCAATATCTTGGTTTTAAACCTGACTGGCTCTCGAAGTTGAATAGGGTTGAGGTTCTTCAGTTGGGCCGGTGGCAAAACTCTGTCAAACATCATATTGAAGTGGAAAATAAAGATTTGACAGTTGAGTCGAAGAAGAAAAAGAAAGTGGAATATGAAGTCTCTTTGGATGGTTTGGGAAGTCAGACATCCCTAAGATATCTAAGCCTCAGAGGCGTTTCTAGATTGACTAACCTACCTCCTTCGGTGCTTAACCTAATAAGCCTTGAGATCCTTGATTTACGTGCATGTCACAATCTAGAGAAACTGCCTTCTGATATTTCAGCACTGAGGAACCTTACCCATTTGGATTTATCAGAATGTTACCTGCTCGAAAGCATGCCAAAGGGTATTGAAGAGCTCTCTGCTCTTCAAGTACTTAAGGGTTTTGTGATAGGAATCGTCAGAAGAAATCCATGCAGGGTAAGTGACCTTGCTCAGTTGAAAGGTTTAAGGAAATTGAGCATACGAATAGGGAATGAAGCTTTAACAGAAGGGGAGTTTTCAAACTTGAAGGACTTCACGGCTCTTCAAATTCTTGTGATATCTTGGGGAATAGTTTTGTCGCAGTCGAGTACAAATGCTGCTCTGAGTCCATTCTCAGTTCCACCAAAACTAAAGAAACTTGATCTCAGGTGTATCCCTATAGTAACCTGGCCTGAATGGTTAGGGCCTGGCAGATTGATATCTTTGGAAAAACTTTACATCAGGGGAGGTGAACTCAAAAGCTTAAAGAACCAAGGTGAACAAACCTGGAAAGTTAAAATTTTACGTTTGAAGTATCTGAAGAACTTGAAAATTGACGTGCAAGAATTAAAAACAATGTTTCCTAAGGTGGAGTACTTGGAGAAAGTCAAATGCAACAAGATTGGTCCACATGAATATGATCCAGATATCACATGGAACAAAATGCAGCATGAGAATGCAATTGTAGCAACTACTTGAGTGAGTTTTGCTGCTACTTTTTCGTTTACTATTCATTTTTAATTGCTCCTGATTTCTCCTATATTCCTCCAGCTCCTGTTTTTAAAGCAAGTCATATTACTCAATTTCTAAAAATCAATTGCTTATGTTGTTTCCGACCATGATTGAGTGTTCTAGAGTCGGTAATATGTGAATCTCTTTTTATTTTCCCTACAATCCTTGTAAGATTTTTCGTTGTTAATATTTTGAGCATATTATTTCCAGAAGAAGTTTCTGAAATTTTCTTGTGTTGAAATTTCATGTTTCAGTCTGAATTAAAATTTCTCTTGCTACTCCACCTGTCAGAGCAAGGTACTTCTTTCAATCTTTAGGTAGAGTACCCTCAAAACTGATGAATAGTGGAAAGACATAATCTGCAGAAAAGAATATGTGATATAACTGTTATTCTTATTTTTGCAAGACAAAGTCCAACCTGCATGGTCCAGAGAGTTGGAGAGAGAGGAAGTGCTGCTTGATAATCCTTCTGCTTTAAATTTGTAAGGTGAAAAAATTGGTATTCATGTGGTTTCAGCTTGCCTCTCTGAAGTCTGATCCAAGCAATTTTGAGTGCATATTGAAAATAAAAATAGGATAAAGTAGAATTAAACAAAAAACTAATGAATCATTTGATGCTCATAATTGCAATTTAAATATTTTTCTCTGTTGTGGAAAATTGGATTATTGTCTTTTGTATTTAAGGATAATTTCTCTTGTCCATGAGATCAACATGGTGCTGCCTGCTGTTCATGTCTTTACATTTTATAGATGCAATATCCTGAGATAAGCTATCCAATGGTGCCTTCCAGCTTATTATGGGCATTTCCTTCCTTTTCTTATACTCATCTGCCCCAAACTACAGTCTTGAGTATCATTTACAACATATTCTAGACCTTTTCCAGTTTCCATTTTGTTCATGAGAGCCAATAGATTGGCATTCTCTCCTCTTGATTAGATTAACTAGGAAACTGAACTAAAAGTCTTAATTGAAGAAACAGCAATTAGATCCTTATTTGGTTGCATAAAGGGTCAATGGCCAAATTCCCAATGAAGCTAGTCAGTCATCTTGACAATTGTCTTGAATCAGGCCCCAAAAACTTGAGTTATATTCTTCAGAGTGCTGCCAAGCTTGCAAATTCCTATGGTTACTTAGATCAAAGAGATTGTGGCAGTAATTATTTGCTTTAGTGTCTAAAATACATGCCATTTTGTCTTCAATAAATTATCATGCTGTTTATTTTTATTTTTACTGAGTGCCACAACTTTGTGAAAATTAAAAAGGAAATTTCTAAAAGATCAATAATCTTATTGAACCATCTGTGGGCATTTTCATCAATTCCATGCATTAAATCAGTAGGAGTACTTGGTTAGTAAATTCTGGCAATAAATAATAATCTCTCTCTTTAAAAGCTATAATTATCACTGTGTACTTAATATGGAGATGTGAACAGAGCTCATTTATTAAATTTGTAACGTTCTACTACCTGATTGTGAAGAACAACTAGAAAAAGAGAATTGCGAATTTGCAGTTCGTTATAAAACTATTGAGCATCTCTTTTGTAACAAGGTGCTGGATTGGATTAGTTTTGTTGATAGACATGACATGCATAATAGGCCAACAATCTGACATGGCAAAATCCAGGATCAGCCAGAGAGAAAATTTCTGATACAGTTATACAAGCCTACCTGTAATGACATCTGACAACGAGGGAGAAAGTTAAAAAAAAAAAAAGACAAAAAACAAGTATACAACAGAAGTTATCATTCATCAAGTGTTTCACCTTTCTTATTAAATATCTTATGCACAACTTTTTGAGTAATTTAAGTAGTATGAATGAGAAAACATTACACTTTGCAATGTGAATTAGCAATATCATGAATTTACTGCATGTCAAGATTGCATGGGGTCCAAGTGCTGCATTTGGGATGATGGCAGACCTCTGCCGAGCATCATATTGAAGTAGAAAATGAAGATTTGATAGCTGAGTAAGAAGAAAAAGAAGCGCGATATAAAGTGCATTAAATGATTTTGGGAACTCTTAAGTGTCTAAATAAGCCTCTGAGGTGTTTGTAGAATAACCACACATCTTCAGTTCAATTGTTTGAATGGAATATTAATAATCAGGAATTTGATTACCATCCTAAGCATGCTGATATGAAATTGTCACCTATTGTTCATTCGCACTATTTCCTTATTCTATGTGCTACCTCTGATAAAGCTTTTGAAGTTGTTAAAGCTACTTCAATTGTTTTCCTGGCTGGTGTAGAGGGAAGGAGCATGCAGCTGCATGAGTGTTTTTATGCCTCTTGGACAGTTGCTTGTGACTTGTCTAGGACTTCCAATTATCTCTTCAGGCTGTCTTTTACTGATTGGACGGTTATGATAGCAAAACAAGATAATAGATTTGGTCTGTCGAGGCACTGATTATGAGGCATCCCACATCGGTGGTGGGAAAATGAAAGGAAAGGTATAAGAACTTGGGTCCTTGGGCTATTAGGCAATATGGGTTAATCATTTTGAGCCAGTGGATTTCGGTCCAAAAATTACTTGGGCCAGCCCTTGGACCCTGGTCATGACAGATTATGTGGGCAGACTTCAGCTCATTAAATGTGTTCTAAATATTGATTTGTATTGGACTATTGTGTTTGTGCTTCCAAAGTAAGTGTTTAAGAAATTAGATAGTCTATCAGCAGCTTTTTTTTGTCTGGTGAGGAAAGAAATTACTATGGCGCTGAAATTAGTTGGTCTGACATCTATTGACCAGTGAGCAACGGAACCTTGGGACTGACTAAACTTGACCTCTGGATATAATTTCTTTCTAGTGAGCAAGGGGGCCTGGGACTCACTAAACTTGGCCGCTGGAAATAATTTCTTATTCTGACCACGTTTGGAATATCTCTGCATAAAAGGATAGCCTAGTCAACGGGGAATGTTGGTACACCAAATACACAAAACCAAAGCTAGCTTTTATAGCTTCTTTTTGGCATGTGTTGATTCTTATCCAATGCTTTGGGTTTTTTGCTGTCAATGATTCCCCATTTTGTATGTGAATGATGCATCTATTATCTAATTCGACCACAAAGCCAATTAAGATTTGTCTATGTTGCAGGTCTCAAACTGCTCCAGTCTCTCCATGCGCGAAGTGTTTGCCTGGTGTAATTTGAGGCAAAGTTCGACGCGATGCCCATTTAATGCGGTGATTGTTCTTGTTCATGGCTTGCTCCCAGTGGTGACTCAGATCAGGGGAAAAAGCTTTATGTTTTATGGATCCATTTTCCGGGCTTTTCAATTTTCCTTTTGCATTAGAATTTCTCTACTGTCGCAGGCTCCTGGAAGTTAACCAAATCTGGAAGTGAATGCAATTGCGGCTGCTTAATCTGCTTTGTAGTTTGGAATAGGCTATTTACGAAAAAGTATGAGGCCTGATGTACCTGTATATTTGCATTATTTACCTGAGACAATGTGGAATTTGACATTCATCAATCATCTTGGTCAGACTTGCATCACAAATTTTTCTTGACTTTGTCTGGTGCTCTCTGATATCTGGACAGCAAAGGCACGGACTGACCGACCAACGGATTCTAGTTTTTTTTCTTCTTAATTTGGAGGTGTTTTTTTGGGGGTGGGGGTGGGGTGGGGAATATAGATTCACTGGAGTTGAAGAGAGTTAATGCTTGAACAAGGTTTAATGGAGTTGGAGAAGATAACAGACAAAAGACATTAGTTATGAGGTTGGTGACAGACAACGGTCAGTTGCTTATGGCCCTTATGGGGTTAGACAGTTTGCAAGTAATTTGACAGCTAAAATTTCCTCTGTATCTATCATTCAGATTGGGAATTCGCAATGGTCTCAAGGGACCACTCAGGTGGAGAGTTTGATTCAAGTTATGCTTGCTAATATAATTCCTGTGCTATCTGAACCTGATTCTCATAGATGGAAATGTGATGCTTATGGAGACCTTACAACTCAGTCATCAATTCAATTGCTAAGGGATCATTGCAATTGAATTGATGCCCAAATGTTGGGAGTCCTTGCAAGTTTCTTGAAGAAGCAATTTGACCTCTGTTAACCATCTGTCTCAAAATCAGTCACCTTGAATTAACAGTGCAAACTTCCATTATCATATACCATGAACGTAGCTAATATCACATAAACTCTCACAAAAATATTAAGCTTTTCAAATTTGCTATATTCTTAACACCATTCCTCTCCTAACTCCATTCAAATTCCATTTTGTACCAATTTGGTTTTCCAAACCACACTGCAGCCTAGCTACTTCTTTGCTGTCAACTCGTTCCATTTTGCAGATAATTAGCCTACTGAATTATTCCAGTTCTTTAATTTGATGATTCTATCTTGACCAACATTACAGAATTTCAATGTTTGAAGACAAGACAGTTACGTACCCTATCTTCGATGGCATTTTAAATTTATAAGAAACTGCACAAAAATCAAATTGATCTCGAAGCTTAATTCTCAAAGTCTCTTAGTTGTAAAGCTTGAAAATAGAGATTGCGAAAATTGTGATTCCAGTACTAGATAGATCCAATATAATGCATATCTATCAGCCTGCTAATTTAGGTTGGCAACTGCATTGCAAAATACCTGCCCATGTTAAAATAAAAACACGCAAAAAACTTGCAGGTGACCATAGCATGAAGAGCACTGGTCTCCAAAAGCAAATTTTTTGTACACGTCTTGTATTGACATTTCTAATCGTACATGGCATTTCTGTAAATGATTAATATGCAAAACAACAAATCTCATAAATTCTTTTGACACCAGATTATCCACTTAAAATAGATTCTGCAAGATCATACGGTTTACAATGTGTGATGTTGTAATACTCGTCCACTTTTACATCTAATAACAATGTACTCTTCAGCAGAATGTCACAGAAAAGGTATATCATCATAAGAATAATTCATTGAATTGGAGACAGCATAATTAAACATACAGAATTGAAAGAAATCATAAATACAGGTGTAGACTAGAGTTTCCATACACTATGATCAATCTCAAAGTGAGAAATCTTGCACCACTCAGAGTCAAAAGATCAAAAGATACACATTCCATAGGGAGGCTTGTATTTGATTGGCGGGGAGGTTACTGCTCAAGTTTTTGGCATATTCCAACTTCAAATCCTTCAACAAGTGAAAGCTTCTCACTTTGACCTGGCTATATCTCTGTTGAGGGGCTGCCAAGCCTCATTCGCAGCATTTGTCATCTGAATGGAGACAAATTCAGTTTCTAACAGGCTATAAGGCAATTTGATGGACACTAGTTTAAGCGCAATATTAAACAAACTCCAGAAAATGGAAATAGTAGATCCAGGAAGTATATCCATGACTATGAGAGGCAGGACATACCATGACTTAAAAATCCAACGAATAGCTATCCCATATGTTGGCTTATCCATAGCTCTGTACTTTACCTAGTAAAGATTGAGTGAAGAGCTCACAACTTTAGGCAAGTTTAGAATAAATGGCAACTAACGAAGACCTTGCTGATTTTATCAATTATGAAAGTTTGAAGAAAGGACAAAGAAATCAGCAGAAGTGATGAAAATTAGCTATATCTTCTTGAATCAAGCATGAGCATCCCTGTAGCAAGCCAGAATCATCTTTGATGTAGCTTCTTGGAAAGCTCTCACTGTCAGCCTCATATTCTATACCATAATATTTTGAGGTGGTTCATATCTTCTTGTTTTATATATTTATTTATATTTTCTTTTTTAATTTCATTATGTTTTACAAAAGGTATTTGACTTTGCCTATTCAACATATGATAGGGTGTTAATTGTTGGTTATTTTATTGCTAATTTTCCCCTTTATCCTTGCCAAATATTGTTTTAATTATTAATATTTACTTATATTTGGTATTGGACTCAATTTCAGGGAATAGAGCAGAAAACTACAAAAAAGGAGGTACTTTTTGGAGAATATGGAGACTTCTAAATACTCCACAGACTTGGCCCACATTGCTAAGAAGGACCGGATTTCCATTTACCTTTTTGCTGACTAGGAGTCCTACCAAGAGTAAACAAGATACAAGGAATGGCGCAGGACCTTCTTTGGAGCATTTGGACTCTCAATTTTGGTGGGACCAGCGAGATAAGAAGCCTTAGTCATTAGGAACGTACAGAGGCTTAAAATCAAGAAGCAATTCGGATGGGCCCCACCTTGTGGAAGAGTTTCCTTCTTGGACTTTAACTCTCAATTCGTGCGGGGACCACGAAAAAGGCGGAAAGCATTAGACTTTCTTTTGGCTTTAAAAAGGGAGAAACGTGCAGAAGGTGGGGGATTGAATAGTTTTTTAGTTTAGGTTTTTAGCATAGTTTTAGTTTTCTTTTCTTAGCTCTTTCGCATGGTTGTTCTCCATTAATGGAGAACTAACCTCTTATTTCTAGTCAAGGGACAACTGAAGACTTGGTTCAACAATTATTGTGAGATCGAATTTATTTTAATTGTTTCCTCCATTTATTGGTATTCATATGTTTCCTGATTTTAATTGTTATAGCTTTTGTGTATGATTGGTTAGTGCGCAATAATTAATTATTCACATAGGCTGTTTTGCTATATAGGGGTAATTGAATCCGTAATTGTTCGTTATCTCTATCCCAGTAGCAACTGGCATAATTGGATTTGTGTCAGGGGAATATTTGATCTGGCTTAAATAAACCCTCGTAGCGTGTTTGTTAGTTAGGATTGGGCCTTTCTAATTATTAATGCAACCTAGAAATTGAATCCTACGGTCGTACCTAGGGTTGTTTTTGGGTTAGAGAAATAGCTAACGGTCGTACCTTAGCTATCGATAAATTAAGGAAGGGTTGGTTGTTTAGCGCGTGCGAGACAACTAGAACCAATCTATTAGTAAAGGTTGGAATTATTTTTGCATCGATGATCAGTGCATGAACCATTTTTGAAGTGTACCCTTGGCTAGAGTTTCTCTTAATTATTTCTTTTATTTATTTTCTGCATTTAATTTATTTAGTTAGCATTTAATCCAAAAATCCCCCCATACTTTGAACTCTAGAAGAAACGAATTATCCCCAGTCCCTGTGGATTCGACCCTGCTTATCACTATCTACAGAAATTATATTTTGTTTGAGCAGGTATTTATTATTGCACAGGCTCGACCCCTGTCAATTTTTGGCGCCGTTGCCAGGGACTGGTGCCAGATTAATTTGTTTCTTTTCGAGTTCACCTTGTTTTTATTTCTTATTTTTTTTATTTATTTTTCTCTTATTTTTTTTTTATTATAGTTTATGGCTTCTAACACTCCGTATTTTGGTGATAGACTGGATTTTGTTTCCGGGGAAGGCGATGAGACTAGTTTTTTTGCTAAGTTTGCATATTCAGAGGCAGTAAACTCTATTAGAGAAAGAATGGCTGCTGCAACCTGTGAAATTTGTTATGCCAGGGATCATTCGACCGGTATGTGCCCCGAATATCAGGATAATCTGAGTGTCCCACTCAATAATTATGGAGATTTTTCACCATGGTCTCAAACGTGGTATAACCCTAATCCAAACGGGTATGATCAAGGATGGTGGGATAACTCCAGTTATAATTATACAACAGGGTCACTAGATTTTCAACAGCTAGAGTCTCAAGAACCGTCATACATGTCAGGTATGTCTCTTGAAGAAATAGTTGAATCACTAGCTACTAACACATATCTAATTCAACAGGAGACATATCAAATTCAACAGGAGGTACATCAACTTCAACAGGAGACACAAAAGATGAGTGAAGAGATGAAAGAAGGAAAGCGTGAATGGGCATCTAAAATAAGCAAATTGATTTCTCCAGTTTATGAAGAATTGCCCTCACCGACTATTATCGACCATGAGCAAGATGAGAGTGCAATTATTCTGACAAATGACATGGTACTGCAAGGGTCTCAAGAAGAAGAATCTAAAGATGCAGATGAAAAGAAAGTTGAAGCACAAGAATTGGGACCCCAACATCAAATGGTTCAAGTGAATGAATCCAGTGAACAATCTCCAAATGCGGTGACATCTCCTCCATTCCTTAATGAATATTTTCCTGACTCTTATTTTTTAATTCCTGTTAGTGAGATTGATTTTATTATACCAGAAAATTTTGAGTTTCATGACAGGAACAATTTAAGAGTCACGATGGCAAAATATCTCAAACCAGCAAGTGCTTGTGATGGAGGAGTGAATGAAGATTTAAGATCATCACTTGTTTGTTTGGTGCCATTTACTAGTCCATGGAAGCCCGTACCTCGTGTGCCCAAGAATTACTCTATTTACGAGGGCTATCAGGATTACATAGAAGATGAAGCACTGAAACGAGCCACAAGATTTTATCCTCCATGAATACACATGAAAATGTCTAGCCAAAGACATTAAAGAAGGGCGCTACTTGGGAGGCAACCCAAGACTATTTGTTTTAGTTTTCGTGCATTTTTTAAGTTTTAGTTAAGTGTTAGTGTCAATTAATGGTTTGATGTTTGGTGGCAGGGAATTAGCGGTTAGGCGTGCCCACGCCAGGTGGTCACGCCTGAAGAAAAGGAATTTTCGCTCAGGTTCTGCGAACTCCATAGTAGTTAGACGTGCCCACGCCAGATGGTCACGCCTGACGGAGGAAATTTTCGATCAGGTTCTGCGGGCTCTATGGCAGTTAGGCGTGCCCACGCCTAGGCCAGAGGCTCCTTATTCTAAAAAAAAAAAAAAGAGAAAATTTTTTTTTTTTTTTTTACAAAAGCAATTTCAATTTTTGGAGAATTTCGGTAAGACTAGTTAAAAAAAAAAAAACATTTTATTTTCTTTTTCTTCTTTTCTTCTTTCTTTTCTTTTCTTTCTTTCTTTCTTCTTTTTCTTTCTTTCTTCTTCCCCGCTGTTTTCCCTTTCCCCCTGTCCTTTTCTACTTCAGCCGCAGCCTCCATGCTCCATGCCATCAGATCGCACGCCATCAGCTCGCGGCCAAGCCGCGTCTCTCCTCCACTCTCACCTTCCAGGAGCGCCGCCCCCTCAGCTTAGCTCGCCGCACCCCACCCACGGCCTGCTCCATCACCGTGCGCCTCCTCCAGCTTCGTCCGCCGCACGCCGCGGCTCCCTTCCCCATCACGCGCAGCTCCTCCTGAGCTCGCGCGCCTCCACCGCCACCAGGAGCTCGCTGCGCCTCTCTTCACTGACCAGCTGCGCCTCACCACCAGCTCTTCAGCCCTTCACCTGCGCGAGAAGCCGCCGCCTCGGCTCGCCACTCCGCCGCTGCCATCGCGACAGCCCACGAGCCCCGCCGATTTCTCCCTCTCTCTGCCGCACGTCACCTCAACCCCAGCTCATCCGCCTCACGTGCACCTCCTCCGTCGCGCCCCAGCTTCAACCCGCGCCGCCCTCCAGCCAGCTCCACCTCTGCACCTCCAAGCTCCACCGCCAGTCCACACAGCACAAGCCACCTGTCAAATTTCTTTGACAGGTGGAGGTATTGAATTCTTCCCCAAATTAGTTTCACTCTCTGAAAGTTGTGGTTGAATTTCTTGATGGATAGACGAAGGTGATAATTTGGGCATTTTCTAGGGTAAATTTTGAACAGAGTTGGGTTTAATTGCTGACATAGTGGGGATATTTTCTGCTATTATTTGAATTTTTGGCCGGTTGATTAATTTTTCCCTGTGACTCACCAGTGGTACTGGTTGATTAATTTTAAAGTTTAAGTTCTTGCGGTTGTGTTACTGCCATTGAATTTAATTCTTTCCTGTCTGTGCACCAGTGGTACTGGTTGCAGTGTTGCTTTCCAGTTCTTAATCCTCTGTGCTGGACTGCCTATTCGATTCTTGAGTTTTGGTGCCTGAACTGTCTCTCGATTCTTACCATTAGTTGCTGGAATTGCTGGTTTCTTGGGTCATTTGCTAATTTTGGTGGGTTTAACTGGGTATTTAACTGTCCAATTGGAGACAGTTGTTGAGATTTTGGGTGGGTTTGTGTCCAATTGCTGAAATTTGTTGCGTTGTTTAGTCACTCGCACTGCTCCTAGTTGGTTCGAGTAAAACTGGTTGGACGTCCCTAGCCCGTGGAGTTTAACTGTTACATTGTTTGGGGTGATTTTCTGGTATTGATCGAATTGTTGGGCATTATTTGGGGGTTTTGGCTGCTTGAGACCTCTATTGCACCTTTAGTTGAGTAATTTTCTGGATTGGTTTGTTGAATTAGTGTTGCCATTGGTTGACTCTAAGTACCTTGTTTGGGGAGTATTCAGTTTTGTGATTTCAATTGCTAAGCTCATTGGAGCACTTGCCGAGATTTTGAGTTGCATGATTTCTGCATTGACTAATATTCGGACCACCATTGCTTATTGTTTGTAATAGCTGCTTTGTTGAGATTTTCGCCTAGTCCTTAGGTGCCTGAAGTTTCCATTTTCTTGATTGGGGTGGCCGTTTATGTTGCTTCATTATCTGAGGGATGCACCAGTGGTACTGGTTGGGGTATTATAACTACATTTGTTGCCACTTGGTTCTAGTTGGTGGGCTACTTGATCGAAAACTGCCAAACATTTTGATTTAGTTGTAGTCCAAAATTTGAACTACTATTGCTGGTTTTGACGGTTTCTTGGCTCATTTGCTAATTTCGGTTGGTTGAGTTGTGTAATTTCTTATCCAATTGGAGCCATTTGGACAGATTTTGGGTGGACAAGTTTTGTCGCTCTCTGTTGATCTTTGGGAGGCATTTCTGACCGTATTCTACGTATTCAAATTGGTTGAATTCACTGCTTTGTCGAGGTTATTTTTGGTATCACTTGAGTTCTACTTTGTTGATTTCTGTCTTGCGTCCCTTGAAGTGCCTTTGGTTGGGTATTTTCTTCATTTGTTTGATTGAATTGGAAGGCTACTGTGCCACTTCCATTGCTTATTGCTGTTGGTGGCGTCTAATTGACTTGCTGGGAGTATTTTACCTATTGATTTCAATTGCTAAATCTTTAGAGCATTTGTTGCGAGTTTGGACTACATTGTTCCTGCATTTGACCCAACTGGGGCCACCAGTGAGTATTGATTGAAATTGCTGTATTGTTGGGACTACATTGAAAAGTGGCCTCTCCCACCGATGGCCGCTGATGCCCAGTGGATGAGCGAGTAATGCATATCGCCAACCAGGTGGCTCCAATCCCTAAGAACCTGGCCGCGTATTTCCACCTAAACCGCCCCTATTTTGATGACTTCAGGGAAGTACCGTTGCCCCTCTCCTTCCTTCTGCTTTTACATTATCACATTGAGGGCAATGTGTCATTTAGGTGTGGGGGGGAGATCAGTTGGGATGCTAGTATTTTTTTTGTTTGTAGTTTCTAGGGGCTTGTCCTTTATTTTTAGTTAGTTTTTGCCTATCTCTCATTTATTTTATTTTCTTTTTCTTTCTAGTGGTCAGTTCTTATTTGAATACCAAGTTTGATGTTGGATTGTTGTTTCTAATTCTGCTATTGCCAAGTTTATTGATAAAAAGGTATTGAGTTAAGGTGGTTGAGTTCAGGAACATCTTTTTGGTGAATATCAATAATTACTTGACTTTTCTAATTTTTAGTTAACTTTTCTAGGTATAGGGAATGATTATTGGCATTTTTCTTGTGAATTGGTCCAATTATTAATTCTAGTTCTTCATGTTTGGAAATTTGAGGCTGGCTTCTGTTATTCATGTGTTGTTTTTAGATATTGTGTTATTTGGTTATAAATAAGAGTTGACAGTACTCCGCTAGTAGTTACTACTGAGTAACCGGGGATTTTCACCTAAAAGTGTTGATTCTCGCGTCAAAAAGTAGTAATTGCTATGAGTACGTGGTCACGTGGCGATAGAAGCTGAGTAACCGGGCTCCTTCATCTGGCCAATGTTGGAGTTCGCGTCAAAAAGCTCAAATGGCTAGCGACTAAGTCTTTTGCTACAAAAAAAAAATGAAAAAAAGGGAAGGTTGTGTTAGTGTGTAATAAAAGTCAGCTTGCCGAATTATGGACTTAATGTTGAGATTTTGGTTAATAGTTGGACCATTTACTGATAAATGTGAGCAACCATTCCTTTTTCTTAGATTAGTTTGCTTTAAATTGGAGGAGTTGGTGGTTGAGAAACTAACCGGAGTGGTTTTTCTTGGATCTTAACTGTGATGCTTGATATATGTTTTTCTGGGTATTTTGGCAATATGATAGTTAGAGCAATAGCCATAGTCAAATTTTGGTGTTCAATTGCTGTTCTTATGCTTGAGGACAAGCATGATTTAGGTGTGGGGGGAATTGATAGGGTGTTAATTGTTGGTTATTTTATTGCTAATTTTCCCCTTTATCCTTGCCAAATATTGTTTTAATTATTAATATTTACTTATATTTGGTATTGGACTCAATTTCAGGGAATAGAGCAGAAAACTACAAAAAAGGAGGTACTTTTTGGAGAATATGGAGACTTCTAAATACTCCACAGACTTGGCCCACATTGCTAAGAAGGACCGGATTTCCATTTACCTTTTTGCTGACTAGGAGTCCTACCAAGAGTAAACAAGATACAAGGAATGGCGCAGGACCTTCTTTGGAGCATTTGGACTCTCAATTTTGGTGGGACCAGCGAGATAAGAAGCCTTAGTCATTAGGAACGTACAGAGGCTTAAAATCAAGAAGCAATTCGGATGGGCCCCACCTTGTGGAAGAGTTTCCTTCTTGGACTTTAACTCTCAATTCGTGCGGGGACCACGAAAAAGGCGGAAAGCATTAGACTTTCTTTTGGCTTTAAAAAGGGAGAAACGTGCAGAAGGTGGGGGATTGAATAGTTTTTTAGTTTAGGTTTTTAGCATAGTTTTAGTTTTCTTTTCTTAGCTCTTTCGCATGGTTGTTCTCCATTAATGGAGAACTAACCTCTTATTTCTAGTCAAGGGACAACTGAAGACTTGGTTCAACAATTATTGTGAGATCGAATTTATTTTAATTGTTTCCTCCATTTATTGGTATTCATATGTTTCCTGATTTTAATTGTTATAGCTTTTGTGTATGATTGGTTAGTGCGCAATAATTAATTATTCACATAGGCTGTTTTGCTATATAGGGGTAATTGAATCCGTAATTGTTCGTTATCTCTATCCCAGTAGCAACTGGCATAATTGGATTTGTGTCAGGGGAATATTTGATCTGGCTTAAATAAACCCTCGTAGCGTGTTTGTTAGTTAGGATTGGGCCTTTCTAATTATTAATGCAACCTAGAAATTGAATCCTACGGTCGTACCTAGGGTTGTTTTTGGGTTAGAGAAATAGCTAACGGTCGTACCTTAGCTATCGATAAATTAAGGAAGGGTTGGTTGTTTAGCGCGTGCGAGACAACTAGAACCAATCTATTAGTAAAGGTTGGAATTATTTTTGCATCGATGATCAGTGCATGAACCATTTTTGAAGTGTACCCTTGGCTAGAGTTTCTCTTAATTATTTCTTTTATTTATTTTCTGCATTTAATTTATTTAGTTAGCATTTAATCCAAAAATCCCCCCATACTTTGAACTCTAGAAGAAACGAATTATCCCCAGTCCCTGTGGATTCGACCCTGCTTATCACTATCTACAGAAATTATATTTTGTTTGAGCAGGTATTTATTATTGCACAGGCTCGACCCCTGTCAACATACTTGAGATTCTTGCAGAGCAAAAACAACTCACCAAGATTTTTCATGAAAGGTTCCCCCTATAAGGCATAAACACACCGTTTCACCAGGAGACTGCCATCCACATGGGTTCTACTACTAACATATCAGAAATTCACCCTCATCTCAGAAATTCACTTCCTGCTTGAATTTTATCCATAAGATTTCGATGTATATGCATCAAACTTCTCCTCTCCTGTGCAAAAAATTGATATTCTCCACAGTTCCATTACCTAGTCATTTCAAGGACTCAAAATGACAAATATCTCATAATCAGCTGGAGAACTTTATGCAACATTGAGATGCACAAAGGGAGAGTACTAACCATGGCATGTTTTCCATCAGCCATCTGATAGCCCTGAATGAGAGCGTCCGCCCCATCACCAGCTTGAGAGAACAGCTTAAGCTCATAGCTTTTCATACATCGGAAAATTTGAGAACATCTCTTCCGACCATTCATCCAATTTCTAGCCATCAAACAGCTGTATGACAGAGCAGAATGGCATTCACTATTCAACCATCGGACAAGCATCAGTATTTCTTGATATATAAGGGACTAATAACCAAAGTTGCCAAAGGGGAATACAAAAAGTGGTGCCTTTTTTTTTCGTTTTGGGGGTGGGGGGGGGGGGGGTTTAAAAGAAGTAATCCTGATGTTTGAGAATTTGATTATCCAGATCCTCATAAGTTAAATTATCTTCGAAGTCAGATGAACTTTTTGGAATCACAAAATTTTCATCAGAATCAAGAGTTTACCTCCTGCATGAGAATCCCAGTAGCCAGCCAGAGTAATCTTTGTTGCAGCATCTTGGAGAGCTTACACCCTCATTCTTTAATATTATACCATGGGTTTTTACCAATGGTCCATTCTACACTCTCAAACTAGAAATAGCATTGCCTACAATACAAGAAAAGATGCCATCAGATCAAAACTGCACAACAATTGAATATAGCAAAGGGAAAAGCGTTAAAAGTCATCCTGAATTGTACCTAAACCTTCTCCATATAATGAAGGAGAATAAGCACCCTTGGAGAGAGTCCTGCTGGATCCATTTGAAGTAAATAAGCCCTCACCAAGCATACAGCCCCTCTTTTTTGCAAGTCCAAGAATGTGTAGGTATATTTATCTGTGTCATCATATAAGAGGAAACTATGGTAGCTGAAGACTTTCGTCCCAATATTTATGTAACCATATAAAGAAAAGCTCAAACATTGAAAAAATAAAAGATAAAAACAGACACATAAAAAAAGATGGTTATCAAATACTTTGCCAGACAAACAAAATAGTCATTACAATTTTCCAATGCAGTGAAAGATGGGGCTTTTGTAGCATTTGTTGCTATAGAAAAAATTGCAAAAGAAATAAAGCTACACTACTTCCAGCGATTAATAAGTTAATTGCCCTAAGATCGTGAAAGAAGTTTAGAGAGTTGATTTACCAGAACCATATGGGATCATGTTGATAATCATGAAAAAATAAATAAAGCAGAAATGGCAAAAGAAATAAAGCTACAGTACTTCCACCAATTAACAGGTTGATTGCCCTGGGATCCTGAATTAGGTTAGAGAGTTGATTTACCAGATCCATAAAAAGCCCAACCTGGTGTTAACCTTATCACTTGAAACATTAACCTTTTTCAAGTTCATTACTTTAGAGGCTAACAATCTCCTAGATATAGGATCACGTTGATAATCATGTCAAGTTTAGAATCTCCACGTAACCATAGGAAATTCAGTTTACTGCTCGAAGGATGTGCAAAAATAAAGGAGAAACGATGAAGAATAACTTTGAAGTGTTAATGGCATGCTGATACAAGTACCGGAGGAAGTCAAAAGGTTAGTACATCACAAATGAATATCGTGAAAATGGAAAAGGAAAAAAAAAAAGGCACAAACACACAAGGGAAAGGTTACCTGGAAAGCAGAAATTCAGAGAGAACCAAGGAAAGACAGGTTTGCAACAATTATTCAGCAGAAGGTAGGCTGCACAATCAAAGATTCGATTAACAGACATCATCAATACATTACCGCTGTCAATACCAAGGAAAAATATTAAGGGGAAAGCAATATAGATAGATTAAAAAAAAGAAGCAAAAATCAATTGAAAAATGTTTGTAGTAGAACAGAGGATTACCGAGTAGCCTCAAGTGGAGATTAGCCTCTGATTCGCTGCCCATTAATTATAATTTTGGGAATGTGGGAGATCTTGGACCACTTAGAAATGGGGTCGGTGCTACTGCTGCTGCTGCTCTCTGAATTGCGTCTTTCCGTTAGAAGAGGACACATTTCAATCTGCAGCTCTGTTAGTCTGGTGAGGCTTCTCATAGTTTGGTCAGAGGGTAAATTCTCTAACTTTTTACAATTGTAGAGGTAGAGTCGTTCAAGTGACGAAAGCTTCCCAAACCAATCAGGCAATAATTTTACTCCAAAACTGTCTAGTTCAAGAACTGTCAAGGCAGAGAGGTGCTGAAGTTGCTCGGGCAGAGATTCCCAATGAGGCCATCCATACAGAATTAATTTTGAAAGGGAGGGGAAGTAGGGGTGCGATGGTGGGAGAGCACCAAAGAGATCTAAGAAGGAATGCAGCTCTGGGGTTTTTGAGAATGGTCCAATTCCCAATTCTCTTAAGCTTGTAAGAGAATAAAGCTTCCCCTTGGGCAAGTCATTTAATTTCTTAGAGTATGGTATGTCCAGAAAAGAGAGAGAAGGTGTTCGGGATAAATGCATTGGAAAGGAGATAAGATTGGGGCATCCCCAAATTTCCAATTTCTCAAGAGGAAGAGGAGGAGGAGGAGGAGGAGTATCGGAGGAGAGTGAAGAACAGGAATCCCACGCTGACTCGCAGACTTGTGGGATGGACAAATGGGTTAACCCGTTGCACATAAAAATTATTAATTTTCGCAAGGCAGTGAGGTGCTGGTGTGCCCTAGGGATTGAAATCGACTTCAGTGATTGGCACCTGCAAACAAGTAATTCCTCCAAGGACTCAAGGCCAACCAAATATTGAGTTGAGCCAACATCAGACGAAAAATCCAAGAATTGGATCATATCACGACAATCCCTTAACTTGAGATTTGCAAGATTTGGATTGTTTTCAAATAACACAATTGGTAGCTCAGTGAGCCCATTCACATTATCAATGCAAAGACTAGTGAGAGTCTCGAAACTGTTGCAAATACATGTCAATATTTCTGATCCATCGTTCATGTGCTCAATGTGCAAGTTCTTGAGACAGGGAAGATGGCGTGGAAAAGTGGCTATTTTGGGACAGTTTTTAATTCTCATCGTGTTAAGGACCGGAAACACCACCACTGTCCCATCATGATCTAATGCTTCCAACCATTCACGCAAACTTAGCATGTTTTCTAGAACGAGATGTTCAAGTGCCGGAAACAATTGACTGCTACTGCCACTATGCACGGTTGATTCGCCATAAAAAGAAGGCCCTATGGTTGTTATGTTGTCGAGTCCTTCCAAGTGAAGATATATGAGGAAGGGCATGCGTCCAAGAGTTGGTAACTCTTTGCAGTTTTTACAATTTCGCAGTTCAAACTTCACCAATTTCTCAAGTTTTTCAATCCATGTTGAAAGTCGATCACCAAAAAATCTTTCAATTATCAAACCTTTCAAATTTTGGTGAGGTTGCAAACCATCCAACACTTGATTGTATTCGTTGTCGTTGTCTCTCAAATTATCTAATTCATTCCATAATAATCTCAACTCATCAATGTTTGGCTTCCCAATCAAATTTGCAGACTCGGCTTCTTCCTTGCTTCTCACCAATTCAAGATTTCTTATCTCAAGACTTCCACTGAGATTCTTTAAATATCTCAGTTGTCTAATTTGTCGGCCCGCCTCTTCACCAATATTGAAAAATGGCAATGTTTGGAGAGAACGCAATTGGCTGACCTCAAGAGGTGTTAGATCCCTTGATTTATGATTAGAGAAAAAGTCAAAGTGTCTCAAATTCATCAAAATTTTGAAATTCTTTGGAAACTTTGCCAATGATTTGCAATCTCTAACTCTTAACGTCTGCAAATTGTTAAGCTGACAAAGAGACTCTGGCAATGTTTTGATTGGAGTATCTGATGAATCAAGGTACCTTAAATGAGACAACTTGTTAATTGATTCAGGAAGCTCATTGACACATGATGAAGCTAAGTTCAGCACCCGCAAGCAAGTCAAAGATGAGATCCAACCATCAATATTAATTGATTTGTTCTCCACTAAAATTAATGTCGTTATGTAACTGAAACTCTCATTCAATGGAAATGGTATTTCTTCCCCACCGCTTTCCACTGCAAGATACCGAAAAGGCTTGTCTTGAAAAATAGCTTCTCTTGTCTCTTCCAACCTTAAAGTTTTACCTTCGGAAATGGATTGCACCATATCGTACACAAGATCATGCATTTGGCAGTTCAATACATTCCCATAATCATCCTTCTCTACATCTTGAAACAAGCTACTATCCAACAAAATAGTAAAATACTCGTTGCCAACTTCCTCCATACACATATTTTTTCTTGGATTTGAATGAAGAAATCCTTCTGCCATCCAAAGTTGGATCAGTTGATTCCTTTCCATTCGAAAACCCATGGGAAAAGTTGAACAATATGCAAGACACTCTTTAAGAGATGGATGTTGAAGATGATCGAAGCTCAACTTCAAAATTTTAGTAACTGCAATATTTTCATCTCCACCTGAACTTTGAATCCCACCCTCTAAAGCTTGCCATTCATCTATTCCCTTGTTGCGCAGCATGTTACCAAGAACGCTTGCAGCTAATGGTATGCCTTGGCATTTTTGCGCAATCTTGAATCCTATATCTTGCAGCCCATTCGGCACCTCCTGAGCGCCAAATACATTTTCTTTGATAATGAGCCAACATTGATCATCTGATAATTCTTCCAAGAACCAAGGAGGAGAAGAAATTCCCATGATGCTTGCCACTCCTTGGTCGCGAGTGGTCACAAGAATCCAGCTCCCCGTGGCTTGGCTGGTACCTTTCAAACATGCAAGAAAATCATTCCATTGTTCTAAGCCGTTATCCCAAACATCATCCAAGACCAGTAGATACTTTTTACCATCCAATAATTCCTTAAGCCGATCGACCCAGGCTTCCCTACTCTCAACTTCGAGCATTGGTTCATTCAATGATTCTAGCATCAACAGAAACAGCCTATTGACATTCAAAGCATCTGACACGCATACCCACATTCTCTCCACGAAATGTTCTTTAATTTTTGGATCATTAAAAACCTTTTGAGCCAAGGTGGTCTTCCCGATCCCGCCCATTCCTACTATGGGAAGAACGGAGATAGTTTCATTGTTACTCGTGGCAGTCAATTGTGTTACTATTGCTGAAACATCATTATCTCTTCCAACAAAACTCGTATCAACAGTAACAGAGCAAGTCTCTCTGCTGTTTTTAAATCCTCCACCATGAGATGAATCTCTAGCTCCAGTACGTGGCTGGAGTCCACATGCCAATGCTTCTCTATGGATTCTTTCCAAATCCATATTGATTTGCCGAATTTTTTTGAACATTTTTAAACGAAATGCAATGGAATTGGAGAGTGGGAAGAAGAAGCATACCTTCCTCTTCATTTGGTTTTGGATCTCAATCCTGCGCCGATTCATTTCATAGTTGAAGTCATCCAGCAAATTTCTGGCATCGAAAGCTACGCGTTCAAGCATCTCCAGCCAAAGCTTCACGAACCTTTCCGTCACATGTTTTTCTTCTGCGTCACGAAGGAAAGCTTGGATTTGGGTCAACGTTTTCCGCAGCTTCTCAAAATCATTCTTGAAGCCCTGAAACAGACCAATTTGTTCAGAAGCCAAGTCTATTGCCGTCTGCACTAGAACTTGTACAGTGGAACCAAGCAGTGCATCCGCCATCAGGTCAGATCGATAACTGAGAGTAAGAAGAGAGAATTGGATAGTTTTGAGAGTGTGGAATGGAACAGGGGCAACTTGCAAGTTTGAAGGTGAGAAAGAGTTGGATGAATGTAGCAGTAGATGAAACCAGTCCAAAAGGAAAATTAATGAAAAAGGACGGAAAAAAAAAGGTCCCGACAAGCATCACCCACGTGATAGGCAGGCAAATGCATTCTTTACTTATTCCGTACTTTCTGTTCGAAATTAATTGGGATTCTTTGCTTTTACTCGGTTCGGTTGACATATTATATTGACACCTACATACTGTTGATATATAAAAATCCAAATTTATTTATTTTTTTCAGAAAATTTTTTTTTTCTTTCTCAGTCACCTTGTATTTCTTATTCCTCATCTTCTTTAATAGAAAGAGAGAGAAAGATAGATGATGGTAGCTTCCGATCTTTCCTTCGTGGTTCACTTCACTCGCGTCTTTTCTCTCTTCACATATGAAAGCTTGTTGAGTGATGCATAGGGCTGCAAACGAATCGAGTCGCTTGCGAGCGGTTCGAATCGAGCTCGAACTCGAGTTCAGAATATTAAGTTCGTTAGCTCGCGAGTCGGTTCGCGAGTTTGAGTATATATATATATATATTCATAGTAAAATTACGTATATATTCTTAATATTTTATTATTTATTAAGAAAAAATATTATTTTATTTATTTTTTTAAAATAAAATAATTATTTTATTTTTTCGACCTCGAGCTCGGCTTCGAGCCGAGCTCGAACTTGAAAATTGCCGACTCGTCGAGCTCGAGTTCGAGTTTGGTAAAATTTAATCGAAACTCGATTCGATTAGGTCAAAACTCGATTCGACTCCACTCGTTTGCAGTCCTAGTGATGCATAGGGCTGCAAAACTGATGAGTCAAAAGGTTACTACTATAGCGCGTGAACCACACGAGACCCCCACATACAAGTGAGGAAGAGTGTGGCAGCCCACATGCTCCATGCTTTCAAAAGTTTGGATCAAGAATTTCCATTTGGAGCGGACCCACACATCTATGTAATGTCACACAGCCAAGTTACTAATAAGTTTGGATTGACCAAGGCTGTGCTCAGAAATCTAAACCCCCACTGGGCCATTTCAATAATTGCACTCTGGCTGGGATTGAAAAGGAGCTTCCAACTTTTCCATAGTCATCCACGGTAGGCGCGTTTTTTAAGGTGCATTTTCATCCATTCCCAGTAGAGCGAAAAGGGCAAAAAAAAAATTGAAAAAGAAAGGATTTACTTAGTTTCTTTAGGCCGGAATCATGCATATAGACCGAGAAGAAAGCACTCACAAATTGCATCTTTACTCCAATTAGTTTCTTTTAATTTCACCATTTTCATAAAGGAATATTAACAAATCATATTTAACCATTTTAGGTACCTACAACTATGCTTTCATGTTTTATATCCTAGTATCAATACCAAATACCATAAAAAAATATACTCTTCTATAATTGTTTCTTGATTTTTCATAATTTTATTATCATTCATTGACAATACTTTTCATAATTCTCATAAAACTTTTTTGTATTTTATACTACTTTTTAACTATTACAAGTCAAAATGTGACAAAAGCGTCACCCTCGTTTTCATAGAAACTAGGAGGCAAGAACCGCGCGCTGCGCGGTAGGAATAAAAGTGTTAATGCCCAGCGCAGTATCATGAGCAGGAACGCTGCATGAAGAGACTGAACGTATAGTGTAAGAAAGGCAATATAAAGAAGCACAAGGAAAACAGAGTTAGCAGTAAAGGTGTAAAACAACGGTATAAAGCTGATTAAAGCATAGTCCTTCAACGTCTGAGAAAGAAACAAAATGAACTTAAAACGGAAAGAACATGAGGCTAAATATTAAAATTATAGTGCCATGGATACATTCTTTTATTCCCTTTCCGATCGAAGATGATGATGGAAAAACAGGATTTGGATTGGGGCATGAAGAGAACAACTTCGCCATTTCGAAATTCATGGTCTGCAACGAATGTGGCCCAGTTTTGATCAAATTTGGCCGCGGTCATTCCAAGAAAATATGTTCGGTGTCCACTAGCGAGATTGATTGTTGGAGTTTTGGATTCATGTAATCCCGGTGTTATATATTGCGGAAGGGTCTGTGCATAACCAAGTATAAGATATGACCAAGAGGGTGGAAAAAAGGAAAAGAAATGTGTATGCTCACCAAGATGCGCATATCAATGTGATCAAAAGTCGTGCGTAAGCTGGTCTATGTTGTCTTCATACCAAAATTAAAGATTTTTCACTATGTAGAAGTATGAATGTTCATGCCAAAATTTTATAGATTTTTCACTCCGGGCTCTGGCATGTGATGAGCTTGTACAACAAATTCACAAAAATGGTAAAAGAAGCACATGGCGAATAGCAAACAACCAAGTACAAAACCGCTGCTTGAAGGGAACACCACAAAAAAAAAAAAAAAACCAACAACGGCTACTACTACCAATATTGAGTGCAAAGACACTTCTCAAACAGATTGAAAAGCATAATCATTGATCAGAGTAGCAAGATCTGAAGATTACAGGAGACACTAAACATGCTATACTTTGCAAAGATTTAATCCACAGAGTCATGCATTGAACATGTTAGACCTCGTCAAATAACACCAGAGAAATTAAGCTGGATAATCAGCTCCCAGAAAGGGCATCCAAGAAATCACAACAGACACCAAGAATCTGAAATGTACTGTTCTCAAACTTTAATATTACCCCTTTCTTCAGCAATTAAAAGAAACAAAATAAACCCCAACGAACCTGGTCATAAACATCAACGAACATGCGGTATCAAGAACGAACTACAAAGGACATAAATCAGAATCAAACCGTGAATATGTTGCACTTCTAGTTGTGGATGAAGGAAGTGACAAAGGGAAGAATGTTCATCAAAATTTTGACACTTGTTACTGCTTTTATGCACCTAAAGAAATAAAAAAGTAGAAAGAACAGGAAAAGATTTAGAAGTCTCCCCACAAACCCGCATAAAAAGTGAAGAGAAAAGGCCTTAGGTTGAGGGCATTGAGTGGCATTTACAGATGCATGGGACAATTGTTCTTGATACAAGAGAGAGCTCAGCTCAGGCGGTAAAATTTGATAACCAAGGAAGAAAGGCTGCAGTGCATGGATATGCAGTCAGAAAGAAAGAGAGAGGAGAGAGACGTTTGAAGTTTGAACTTTGAAATAAAGTCGTTGGTGCGCTTGTGGGGTACCGTGAATAACATGTTGCATGGCCTGATATTCATACTCTATGCTCAATTTATAAAACCAAAAGTTTATTTGGGATTTTTTTAAAATAAATTTTTTATAATTTGATGTATGTGAAATCAAAAAAAGAGTTAAAAAATACACAAATGATTGATAAATATTTTTATAATGCATTAATTTTTTTGTGCACACAAAACTTGATGAATCAAAACGAATCAAAATTCTTTCACTGCAATTTTATAATTAACATATATCAATTATAAGATGGTAGACATAGCAAAACTCTGATCTTCAATGATTTTCGCTTATGTATTTAGGGGTTAAAAACAACTAAGTATTTGGGTAATTTGATCTATAAGTTCAATTAAATATGTGGAAATTAATGCTAAGAAAGATCTAGGTAAACTCGTTTATAGATTAATATCGGTTGAGATACGTAGCATAGTTCAAATTTTGCACGCGTCTACATTTTTAGAGTATGAGTAAGCTCACTCAATTAAGTTTTTTTTCTCCCTTTTTAGATAAGATATTAGAATGGTACCAATTTAAGTAGACTTAAAAGTTGGAGTACTAACAAAGAATCATTTTTCGTAGGTGAGGACAGAGGAGATCTTGAAAGGAAGAAGAGGTCAAGAGAGTAATTTTGAAGGTTGAACAAATAATGGACACTTGGAATGCATATATATACGTAAATTTATGTTGGAAATCCGAGCTCTCGGGCAATATCTTTCTCCCCTTACTCCTGTCATTTTGCTTCTTTTCAAACCCTTTTCTTGCTTCAATAACAGACAGAGACAGAGACACTGAGGGCCTAAGGATAACAGTGTGAATGCATAATATTGATTTAATGCATCAATAATGTCAGCCTTGGAAGACCTCCAAATAAAGTGGTAGTAAAAGACAAATGTTTTCTAGAGATGCAAAAGAGGAGCAACGCAAAAAAAGGCATGATTTTCATGTTTTCGAGGTTGTAAGGGGGAACCACTGGAGCTGTCAGGAGTGCAGACCAGCATCAAACCCATGTAGACCGGACACCGGAGGAACAAAAAAAAAATATCGCAATGCGGAGGAAAAAAATTCAAAGAACACTTTCCAATTTTGTTAATGTTTGAATTTTCTTCTATAGAAAAGGAAAATTATCAAATAAACATATGATAAAAACTAATATGGGCGAGAAATAATACTAAGCACGGATCTCAAAGACGCGAACAAGTTGGCAAGAAATAATATAAAACATAGACCTCAAACTTGAGAACTAATTAATTCAGATTATGACAAATTAAGTGGCCTCTCAAGGCAATGGTCTAGATGCAGTCTGTATCTTATTTTAGCCTTTGTAGTCCAGCTCCAGCAGCTGCTAAGTCCTATTTCTCAACTCAATTCTTAGGAGGAACAATAATTTGACCCTTGGCAATCTTGTTTTTGAAAAGTTCCACGAACCCCGGATAACATTGAAAGAAGCTTGTAGAACCGAGGGAGCCATTGCCTTCCAAACTGACATTTCCCGGCCAACTGAACAAAAGATGGCCTGCAAAAGGCAACAAAAAAAAAAGTAAGAGAATCTCCAATTGTTACTGCCTTTTTCTGAGAAAAAATGATGGGTTTAAAAATTCTGCCAGATTCACTCAGCCCATGATCTTCAACCCTTTCTTGCTTAACAGTCCAAGGAAGAACAATAGTAGTATATAATCTTCAAACTAAAACTTACTCTAAAGATGTGACAACAGAGAAATACTCCAATCCATCTCCATCTGCAACCTTGGCAGCAGAGAAGAATTTAGGTACGACGAGTAACTGGCCGCTCTGCACCCGGGCGTCCAATGCCTTCCCACCAGTCATACCCGAAATTCGAATCACACCACTGCCTTTAGCGAAGTAAATCAACTGGAAGGATGCATCAGCGGTATACATGGGGTTAACACGGACAACGGATCCAACTTCACGACATTAGCACATAGTCCCACTTTCTCCAGAAAAGGAAAATTTTCAGGAGTAGCAATGGTCATTGACCCGCCCTGATTGACGTGGATGCTGGGCTTGGCACTTTCAAAGTCGAATAACATCTCGATGTGATCAGCATCTTTGCATGGATCGTGCAACGTTTGACCCTCAACAAGCTTGACAATTAAAGCACCGGTTTGGCACGTCAGGAGCTGATCTGATTCATCTTGGGTGAGATCGAAAGCTCTGGAAACAAAATCAGTCGAGAAACCCCCAAGAACACCCAAGCCTCCTGTCAAGAAGAAATAGTCAAACCGAGAGGAAAAAGAAGGGCAAGATCGTACCTTACCCGAGAGGAAAAATAGAAGGCCTGCGTTCGGGGAGGAAAAAGGGGCGAAGACGGCACCTCCTTGGCCTGTAAGAAGGAAGTCTCAAGAATCGCTTCTCAAACCAGTAAAAGAGAAAAGCATTGAAAGAGAAAGGCAAGAGAATGGTTAAAAAAAACCCCACAACTGCACATGTAGCCAGTACCTAAAACAGAACAGAACCCAAGTCTTCTAAATACCCACAACTGAACATCACTTGTAAGAAGTTATTCTCAAATCAAGAAAAAAAAAAAAGCACAACCACATCATTGAAAGAGCAAGTTTGCAACCTCCCGGAGAGCAAAATAGTAGATCTAGAGGACCCAAAGAACCAAAAAAAAAAAATTTATAGGGGAAACTCACAGCGAAGACGAACCTAACCATAAAGGAAGAACAAGAAAACTTACTACGGAGGAGAGGAGGAGAAGCGAACAGACGGCAGCCGATTTGGATGACTGAAACCCAGAGAAAGCGAGAGACAGAGGCTTGATGGGCATTGTGCGGCTCGAGAAGGGAAACAAGAACAAATAGCAAAAACATCAGTTTCATGCTAAAGAAAAGATAATGCAGAAAACTCACAGCAAAGACTGCATGTCACCGAAAAGGAAGAAAAAGAAAACTCACCACGGAGGAAGAGGAGGAGAACCAAACGTCTGGACCGCTGCAACCCAGAGAACGCGAGAGCTCGAGGCTTGATGCTTCTTGCGTGGTAAGAAGGGAACCGGATATCTCAGCAGGATCCTACCCCAGGGCTCAGAACAGCCGGATAAGCAAGAGAGCAACATTGCCCAAAAGGAGGAGAGAGAGAGAAGACAGTGGGAAGAAGGGGCATGTGATACAGCCACATAGAGGAAAGGAATGTTCCTCAGTGTCTTTGAACACTTTTGTAAAGTTCTCTCGAGCCGTTGCTCGCACTTGTAAATTTTTTCCTTACTATAATGAAAGTATCCTATCGTTTCGACAAAAAAAAAAGATACAGCCACATAGAGAGAACGCGGCAGACAACGCAGCAGGAGGCACATGGGATACTGACGGAGGACAAGCAGCGCGCAATGCGCGAACAACACAACGCTCCCAACCCACATGCGCGGCACGTGAGAGGACGACGAAAACCTCCAGGTCATCACAGCTCTTCGCACGTTATCTACTTATGTTGATAAAATCCCTCTTCCAACTCTTTAACTTTTCAAACCAGTGCTTCAAGTTGTTGGGAGTTGAGAGAAGTAAATGGACATGATCTTATTACTTTTACAAGTGTATCCTTACATTAAAAAAGCCTAAAAAAACCTTTTAAAGTATATAATTGTAACAAAACTGATAGCTTTAGGTTTAAGCACTTTTTAGTTTGTTTGTTGTACGAGTCAATAAGAAACTAAAATAATAATGGACTCTCTTATAAAGATATGCATCATAATCTCTCATTCTAGTTGTCCAGGACTGGGAGATATTATTGAAGAGGGTTAATCCTAAAAGATTATTAAAATTTTATAATAATTCAAATAATCAAGTGACAGATCAAGAATAAGTTATGTGCAACACATTCTACTCACTCTTGTTCGATTAAGCATCAAGCGATGGATTTTATCTGATCTAAGTATGCAAAAAGCACAATCAAATTCTTGTAATCAACTAATATATGTGAAATTTTAGATTTCCTTCATTAGCAATTGTGGAAATTCATAAGGCAAAAAGGAATTTCATCATACATCCCAGGTCTTTTTTTTTTTTTTGGGAACGATATCATTCCTATAATCTAATATATCCACTGGATTTGTTGAAATTTACAGCATAACTGCTCTCATGAAAATGCAACGGTAGTTGCTCGAAATGACATTAGGCAACACACACTTTAGTGTAGTGAAAATATGATATGATTTGAGGTACAAAATTCACACTTTAGTGAATTTTCTCCATTGTCACATTACATGTTATCTAGTTAAGACTAGTTAGATAGTAGTAATTACAATTTCTCTTGTTTTAATTGATTATTAGTCTAGATAATAAAGGAAAAAAGGTCTTACTATTTGTAAACTTGCTTCCTATAGGATGGACCCGACTTATACTCTAAACTACTAATTAACCTGTATACTTGCAGCAAAATGGATGTAATTTGGAATTAACTTGTACTCATATTTAAAAACCCGTTAGATTTTAAGAATGCAATGTTCAAGACCGTATCGTAACAAGGGAGGGACGCATAGAATTATACTTTGCTGAAATATTTCTTGAAATTTTCTTTTACAATAAAATGCCTAATATTAGATCACTTGTAAATGCCTCTAAAGCCTATTTTGTGTTCGTAGCATCCACATTCTTTTAAAAGCAGCCTGGTATTAGTTAAAAATAGTAAAGATCGTAGACTCAATATAATTTGCCTGAAATTTAACAGGACCAAATTGATTAATTTTCTAAATATCAAGGACTAAATTTGCTTCCTTGAAACGAAAAGAACCATTTTATCCACATCCTAATTGTTGAGGACCAAAATCTAATTCATTTAGGACTGAGGGGGAAGGCAATCGCCGGAAGAGAGGTGAACGGAGTTCTGGAGGGTGGTTGCCCCTTTCTTTTGGTTCTGTTCCTCTGCCGATGATCTCAAAAAAAAAAAAAAAAAAATTCAATTCCTTCTTTCTAAATCCTAATTCTATATATTTTTCCATGTGAAATACTTAGAGGCAAAAATTAGTTTTGGATGACAATCATTTTCTTGCACAGTTGCGCGTGCCTATTACACGTTTTAATTTATAACAAACTCAAAGAAGTCTTTGCAGTTGGTGGAGCCAGTGACCCATCTTAGGTGGCGTTTGGTTCGCATGTTGAAATCGGATTCGGATTCGAAAGCATTCATCCTGGATTTGGAATGGAATCAATCATTACAATACATTTGTTTGATTCAGTGCCAAGAATGTATATCATTATTATAGTTGATGTTTGATTTGTTGGTTCTTTGTAAATGGGATATAAGAAATTTTTACTAATTAAATATATTAGTAAATTTAGTATAACTAATTAATAATTTCTATTACTAAACATGTATAATTATTAGTATAATTAATAATATCAATTATATTACATGTATTAATATATATTATATAATACATATAACTAATAATATTATTATTATAAGTTTGTAGCTAATTAAATTAAATATTATATATGTAATTAAATATAAATATACAAATGTTATAATATAAATATATAATTATAATTATATAATATATAAAAATATTAATTATACTAATATTTTATATAAATATAATACATATTACATATTAAATATAGTTATTAGTATTTATTATTATATTTAAAATAATAATTATAATTATAATTATATAATTTATTAACATTATATACATGTATATATTATAATTATATGCACATATAATATACATTCATATATATTATAAATATATTATTATATAATATTAATAAATTTATAATATATATTATATAAATATAATTATATTTAACTAAATAATTATACTATATATTTGTATAATATACTAATATTATAATAAAATATATAATTATAATATATTATATATATTATAATATAAATATAAATATATAAATTTAATATATATAAATATTAATTATACTAAATATTATGTAATTATAAGATTTGGGAATCACACTTGGGTTTTGGACAAAACCCACCAACTTATTAAGGAATGGTGGAATGCTAAATTTTTAGACATCATTCTAAAATTTCAATGCCGATAGTAGTAAACCAAATATGAATCATGAGGTTTATTTCAATTTTCCATTCCGAAACCCTTTTACCAAACGCCACCTTAATGTGATAACTTATCTTTTGAAAGAACAATTAAAAAGTGAATTAAATAATGATGGGAAAATGACCGGTTTCATCCCTCACATTTCACAAAATTATTCTTTTCGTCCCTCACTTTTAAAACGAAACAATTTCATCCTTGACATTTAAAAACTGAAGTTATTACATCCCTGAACCCAATTTTTAATATGAATCAAACCATCTATCAACCTAATTACAAATTTTGAGGGTATAATTGGTAGATCATTTGACTAACTCAACTTGATATTCACGTGAAATTTAATGAAACCAAAAATAAAAAATAAAAAATTATAACATAAAAAAGAAGAATTAATCTTTCCTACATTGTCATTGTATACACTGATGGGTTTATGTACCTGCCATATCATTTCAATTTAAATTTAAACACCAAATTTTGTATTTATGATATACATGTTGACTCACAAGCGTATATAGTAACGGTACATGAAAAGATTTATCCAAAAAAAGAAATCCTATTATTCCAAGACAAAGAATGACCTTTTATGTTATACTTTTTATTTTTTTTGGTTCAATAAATGTCATGTGAATATGATATATCAATTCTATCTCCGAAATTTATTACTGGGTTATTGGATGGTTTGATTCAAATTGACAATTAGGTTCAGGGATGTAATAAGTTTAATTTTTAAATATCAGGGACCAAATTGCTTCGTTTTAAAAGTGAGGGATGAAAAGAATATTTTTGTGAAATACAAGGGATGAAATAGGTCATTTTCCCAATAATGATTAATGGTACAAATAAGTTACTACCACCCAATAAATGCTGCAAGTTGTCAAGTGAAAAGGATCTTCCGTTTATTTAAATGTAATTAAAGGCCTGCCGCTTGAGCTTCTCAATCACAACATGTACTAGTAATAAGCATTTAGCTGTACGTGTCTTTTGTGGTGGACATAAGGTGTAAACTATTTAGCCAAACCTGCTTTTTTTAAAAATATTTTCAGGTTCATTTATTTAAGATGCGTTTGATAAAATTAAAATCTCAAATTTGAAGTTTGAAATCTGAAATTTGAATCCGTTAAGTTATTGAATCGTAAATACTGAAATCATAATATTTGAGCTTATTCTGCATTAAATGAAATCCTACACAATTCAAACCCATTTAATTAATTAAAATGCCCTATTTCTCATTATCAAATATGCCTAAACATGTTAAAGATCTGAATACATTAAGTAAGTTTAAGTGCTGAATTAGGTAATCAAGTAGGATTTCAGTTTAAGAAACTTAAAATTGCATTCAAGTGTACATTTTTATTTATCAAACTAGTTTTTTCAGCCTCGCACGAGGATGCCCTGAGTCTGTGTTTTGCTTATCAGTAGCAAACTTTATTGTGATTTGTTAAACACATTTATTGGGTATTTCAGTTGCAAGGGGATACGATTCTAGCTGTTGTTTTATTTACCCAATGCCAGTGGCATTGCTGAGCATCTTCAATTGCATTCGACACATTGCGCTGAGAATGCAATTATTCGTCCTGTGATGATGCAGGATTGCTTTCAAATTGGCTCTAGACCATATGAAATAACACTAACAAAGCACACTTTTATTCAGCAAGCTGTAACTGTTCATGATCTAGCTATTCACAATTATTATCAGTTGACTCGTTTTGGAGATTTGGAATCCCTCATTGATCATGCTAATCCAAAAAATAAGTATGGCTGGCTAATTTTACGCAAAAAGAAAATTCTCTGTAGCTTGCTTTGTTTATATGAGTGGTTATAGTTTAATAATGATTTTGAGTTGCATTGTAGTTATTACTTGGATTGGGTATTCATGCTTTGCCAGCAAGTACGATAATTGTAGGGAGGAGAATGCACAAGTGCAAGAATTCGTGGTTAGTAATGAAGAATAGTATATCGTGATAAGCTGAAGATGCGTTTGATAGGGATATTGGGTATTAATTTGATTTGCTACTCACTATTATTGTTCCTAGGGTGGCAAATGAATCGAGCCACTTGCAAGCGGATTGTGAGTGGATTGAGTCCGAGCTCGAGCCAAGTTCAAGTTGATCAAGTCAAACTTGAGCTCGAATTCTAGTTCAAAAATACGAAATTCGCTAGTTCGCGAGTCGATTCGAGCTCGATTATATATATATATATATATATATATTATTTTTTATTTTAATAATAAATTTATATATATATATTCATAATATTTTATTATTTGTTAAGAAAAATTATTATTTTATTTATTTTTTAAAAATAAAATACTTATTTTTATAAATTTTTTAAAATCGAGCTCGAGTTCGAGGTCCACTTGAATTTAAGTCAAGTTCATGTTTGAGTTTTACATTTTAAGCTCATCGAACTCGAGTTCGAACTTCATAAATCTAGGTTGAGACTTGATTCGATTAAACCAAAACTCGACTTGTCTTGGTGCATTTGCACTCCTAATTGTTCCCATGTCTGGCACGAATGAACAAAAAATCGGACCTCAATGTGGAAGGAAAGTCGAGAGCGGCACAAGTAGCAGCAATTCATGTCAATATAGCAATCACATGGTGTGCTTGACTCCAAGTCCAGAATCCAAAATAGAGAAGGGAAAGGTGGGGGGATGTAGGAGGAATGAAAATTTTGTACAAAGAGGGAGATGGAGGGGGCCTAGTTCTTGGACAAACACCAAAGCCACAAAAAGGAAGGGAGGAGAAGTGAAGGGAGAGGAAAGACATTTGTAGAGGGTGCAAATGAGTCTAATCAAATTGAATACTCTTATGTTTAAATTGTTTGATTGTTTTAACGAGTTTGAAATTTTGTTAAAATTTGAATGATTTATTAGCGGAATTGAGATTGAATAAAATTTTTTTAATTCAATTTAAATGTTATCGAATATAAAACGGTGTTCAATTTTGAATTGCTTAATTTACAAATTAAAATTAAACGAACTCTTACCAAATGAAACTCGATTTAAATACGGATTAGGTTGACTTATTTTTCAATTCTAGACATTTGTTTGGTGCTTGGGGGGTGGTGAGTGAAAAAGGAAATTTTTTTTTTTTTTTTTGGGGGTTCAGGCCTACGGCCGTGGATATTGGAGAGAGAAGGAGAGAGAAGGACATGGCGGCAGCTAGACAGTGGTCAGGGAAAGGCTGCTAGGGTTTGATTTGAAGAAGGAGGTCAAACCCAGACGACAACTTATGAAACGCCACTGGATTTGTTGAAATTTACAGCATAACCGCTCTCACGAAAATGCGCCTGAAGTTGCTCTAAATTACGCAGGCAACTCAAACCTTATTATAGTGAAAATATGATATGATTTGAGGTACAAAATTCAAAAGGACAAACCACTCTTACAGCAAAATTCAATCGTATTGCTCTTACAGAAACCACTATTACTTTTTCTTGTAACGTAAATGACAAACTGAAGGCACACAGAAGTAGAACTACAGAAGAACAACAAAGAGAGTAGAACTCAGTCAGGTAATGATGTTCAATCCTATGTCAATCATGTTTCCTATTTCTCCTGATTGTTGCTAGCATTTGACATTTACTGACAGCTTGTTCAGAAATATAGGTTGTGTTTGGATTGCATTTTCCGTCATTTTTCATGAAAAAATTACTGTAGCGATTTGATATATGTGAGGAAAAAAGATGATAGGGAAATGTGATAACGGAAAATGATAATATTTTCCGACGGAAACAAGCAATCCAAGCATGGCCATAGAATGCAATTTTTGTACTTTCTTATGCAAGTTCCCCCCCCCCCCCCCCCCCTCCCTTTCTTTCTTGAGGATACCAACTAGAGAGCAGAAAGAATTACACATATACCTTTAAACCTTGGTGTTGCTGAATTGTCAGATGATATATATATATATATATATATATATATTTGAAAATGGTTGCACGAATGGAAGGTCGCCATGTACATTTTGATAGACTTGTTTTGACCTCACACTAGCTTATAGAAGCCTCTAAAACTCAACAATCCTTTAGAGGATCCTGAATTTGGATCTTAACCACTTCCGTTTACCCCAGACCTTCAAAATGGAATTGGTCCGTTTTGAAGTATTTACAGATGCTTCTACATGATTGAAGGTTTTGGATCATAACAGACAACTAAAGTCCAGAAAGGCTTGAAGAAAACTAGTGTTAGAAATCTCATTGTGGATGTGTAGGAAAACTTTTGGTTTGTACTGACACAATTTCCCTGTGTAATAAGGTCTTTAGGCCAATCATTTCGTCATTTTAAAGACAATGCATCCATGTTTCTGTTAGAAGTCTCAAATGGGGTTCTTATGCAGATTTTCACCTTTTTTCATCTATTGTTCTTGAGAAATTTTGTATATGACAAAAGCCTAATCCATCTTGTGTCATTGTCTATGTCTTTGATGCTGGAATTTGTCCTTGCTTCCTGTCCAGTTTCTCTTCTTTATAGGTGGATTGCTGTCGTGAATAAAGAGAGGAAAGGAGAGGAAAGAACCAAAAATTGCATGGCCTTCCCCATTCCAGACAGAGTAAAGAGGCTATGGGATGAGTGGAATCTTCGTGCTGCTGTTCTCATCAGTCTCTTCTTCCAAGTGGTGCTAATATGCTGTGCAACATCACGTAAAAGAACAGGAAACATGATAGTGACCGCTACAATCTGGTTATTTTATCTGCTTGCTGATTGGTTTGCTGCTTTTGCTGTTGGGCTCATCTCCAACGGTCAAAGTAATAATTGTCCTGAGAAATTTGCAGTAAATCAAGACCTTGCAGCATTTTGGGCTCCATTTCTATTGCTACATCTTGGAGGCCCTGATAATATTACCGCCTTCTCGCTTGAAGACAATGAGTTGTGGATTAGGCATCTGCTTGGGCTTATCATTCAGCTTGCTGCTGTTGCTTATGTTTTTTCACAATCCTTGCGTAACGTATTCGAAGTCCCCACAATACTCTTGATTTTCGCTGGAACTATTAAATATGCTGAGCGAACACGGGCTCTATATTTAGCTTGTTTGGGTAATATTAAAGATTCTATGCTTCCACCGCCAGATGCTGGACCAAACTATGCCCAGCTTATGGAGGAGTACACATCTAAGGAAGCTGCTCAAGTTCCAGTTGAGATAGAGATAGTGAAGGAACATGAGAGAGGCACTCAGACTTCTGCAAATCCAGAGGAAGAAAATTTGAGTCCTGAAGACATCAGTGATATAGATATTGTGCAAAATGGGTATGAATTTTTTACCACTTTTAGGGGCCTGATTGTTGACCATATGTTTAGCTTACATGAGCGCAGTAAGAGCAGAAAATTTTTCTTCCAAAGGTCTGCATTTGATGCTTTCAGAGTAATGGAGGTGGAGCTCAATTTCATATATGATACTCTCTACACTAAGATGGCTGTGGTACACAGTAAAAAAGGTTACTGTCTTCGATTGATCTGCTCTATACTTATAGTGCTTTGTTTTGAGAGATTTGCATCACATCATAAACCCAATATTAACCATTTTGATGTTGCTACTACCTACATTTTGCTTTCGGGTGCTGTTCTCTTGGATTTTGCGGCTTTTACTAAGCTCATTTTCTCAGACTGGACCATAGTCAAGCTTAAGAATCTCACAGTAAAATCAATTGTATATGCAGTCCGTGAAAAGCTGTCATGTTCCAAAAGGTGGTCTAATACCATTTGGCAATGTAACTTGATAAACTTTTGCATGAATCAACGTTGGAGATGGTTAGATATTGCAGCTGAAACCGTTGGAATCAAGGATGTTCTTGATGAAATGTACTACAAGGAAGACATTGTCATTCCAGAGGACTTAAAGGATTTCATCTTTAATGAGCTCAAGGTTAAAGCTACCAAAGCAAAAACCACAAATGTTGCTAAAGAGATATACTCAGCAAGAGGTGATTGGGCACTGTTGGATTACACCAGTCACTACCCATATCCCACCATTTCATCAAGTGTAGGTGACGAAGTTGAATTTGATGAGAGCCTGTTGCTGTGGCATATTGCCACTGAGCTATGCTATTGCATGAGTCCTGATGATGGCAATTCCAATCGCAATTATTGTAAGCTTATATCTGATTACATGTTGTATCTTTTGGTTATGAGGCCTAATTTGATGTCTGCAGTTGCTGGCATTGGACAAATTCGATTTCGGGACACATGTGAAGAAGCTAAGAAGTTCTTCAGCAGGTGGAAATCAGAACTAATTATAAGAACCCCAGGCTTGGGAATTTGCAGAAAATTGATCACCTGCTGCATTGCCCAAAATGGATTACCTGGAAGAGAATCAAGTTCAGTAAATCGAAAAAGAAATGCATGTGAAATGCTAGATAAAGTAAATGCTCTTGTTAAAGCCATTGAGGTGAAGGGAGATAGAAGCAAATCAGTATTGTTCGATGCCTGCAGGCTTGCAAAAGATTTGAAAAAGTTGAATGATAATAAAAGGTGGGAGATAATGAGTAAAGTGTGGGTGGAACTGCTGTCCTATGCTGCCAGTCACTGCCGAGCAAATGCTCATGCTCAGCAGCTCAGTAAAGGTGGTGAGCTCATTACTTTTGTTTGGATACTGATGGCTCATTTTGGATTGGGAGAGCAATTCCGAATTGAGGCGGGACATGCAAGAGCAAAACTGATTGTCGGAAAATAGCAACTAAGAGTGACCATTTTCATTCTAGCTGTAAAATGAAAGAGTTCTCCAACTTGGATGTACTCCTTGACTTGGTGAGTTTTGTGAGTTGCGAAAGACTTCCCTTGTCCCTTTTTTTTTTTTGAGTTTCAATTTCAGAGCCACAATTCACACTAGTGCTTTTTATAAGATGTGCTGATTTATCTTATGTTTCCTGTGGCTTTGGTATCAAGTGAGCATTATGTGAAGTTTTTTCATATGTCATTCACACACATTAGGATCTGTGTTCCAATATGTTGCCTGTTGGGATCTGCTTTTCTTTCTCTGTTTGAAAAACGAATATACTTTTATGACAAAAACATGAAAAGCTGGATTACCAATATTTCATGGGGAGAAGGAACTGCTAACTGAATCTCATCTCTCCAACCAAATAACTTGTAAAAGGCATAACAGGTGTAAGTAGTACAGTAGTATCCATCTTGTGAAACAGTCACCTCAGTTCATCTTCCTCATTTGATACCGATACTGACACTTTTGTAGAACTTAAAACTTACACTTTTCCTCTTTTAGTGAATCAACAATCAGTTATTCCATTTTTCTGAACGATTATTCACATCATTTGAGCTGATTTCAGCGCTTTTCTCTGCTCCAAGTTAGCTAAGGACGGAGGTAAAATAGAATTCAACTGAGGAGGTTCTCTTATAAAACAAAGAATAAACAAAATGAAGTTTCTAATTCTTATAATCTTATTATGATTATGATTATTTTGTTTTTTCGGTTTTGACCCTTTCTTTAGTGAGTGCAGACTGCAGACCATAATACACGTCAAGGCAACTGCAATGCTAGTGGTAAAAAGTAAGATAATGTTATTTTTCCAGGCCAAACCATTTTTTTTAACTTCCCACCTCTCTCCACACCCTTCCCACTCCCAATTGTTGGGTCCAAAATTTGAACCCTCAACATAATAGCGGGGGGAGTCCCTAACCACTTGACCAACTTAGATTCTTCTGTCTGAGAAAACAAGTTTCATCGGCTAAAAGACTCACATCTGAAAAGTGTAACATGTTGTTTTCATAGGTATCACGAACTATATCTTCTGGAATTGTGCAGGTGTCAAAATGTCAATTCTTTTGGGCTGAAGAAACAAATGACCATTTCTTGTCTTCCAGCATCATGATTTACACATATTTGCGATTTTTTCCCTCTTCTAGTAGTGCAGGATCTAGTTTGACATTGAGCTGATGGCGATTGTACTATGCTGCATTGACAGCAAAGAGGGAGGTGGTGGGTGTCATTTCCAGCAGAATTTGCTGGGATGCTATTAAATGTGCATATAAAACCAGGCGAATATCAACCTTCCTTTTACCATGTTAGGCTGCCTGATTTATGCTATCGAGTTTCGTTGTTCATTTACCATTGACCAAGCACGGCTCCATGGTAGACCAACGGTTTATTTTCATCAATGGTGTGCCATTGTCATGTTCTCAATTTGCTCCATCAGATTGCCTATTGCTTGTCTCGTTTATGATCTGGCAGATTAGCCTTGTCCATTTTTCTTCAGGATGCAAAACATAGAGAAATTGTGATCTGGCGGTCTTCACCTCCTCTTAGTACATTCAAGCCAACTGTTGATGGCTTGGCGAAATTGATAGGTATAGCAGTAATGGTTCTCCCCAGGTTGTACCGCACTGGCATCATAAGTTCTACGCAGAAGCTCTTATTAAGGAGGAGGTTGAGACTAGATTTTCCAAGAAGGCAAATGAATTTTCATGGTTTATGGATTGAAATGCTCGCTGGTGAGAGTAATCAAAGAATTAGTAGAGGGGAAGGAAAATCCAACTTCTCATATGTATCCAAATAGTGCTGGCGCTGCATCAGTAGAAAGGAGATGCAAGCATAATCGTAGTAGCAGACTTGTAAACTAGATAGGTTGCATGTTTTTCTAAATGGAAGCAAGGCACCTTATATCTTGTACTTCTCTTGTAAGCTACTTAGTCACCAGTGCATTTACCTTCAAAGGAAAAAAACATCGGAACAAATGTTAATACAAAAGAATAATTATTAGGAAAGACATACTTGGTACAAGCATATACGCAATAGGGGGTAGGAATCAATTAAATTGATCAAAGTTTACTGAAAATGAGGGAGTGAAAAAGAACGAGAATTAATTACTAGCAGAAAAAAAAGGGCAAAAAACCAAGAAAAAGAAACATTGCGGCAAGCGAGGGTGTCCATTCACATCTCTTGTAGATTTCCGATTCAGCAAACTTATCAAATCGGGAACAGAACAGTATTTTCTTTTAAGTTTTAACTAATGGTTGAATCAGTTAAATCTTGGGCTAAGCTCTACAGCCTCAGGAAGCATGTCTAAGCCCAATTCCTGAATTAGTTTCTTGTTAGATTATTTATGTACGTCGAGCACATGTAGCTAGCGATAGACTTGGAGTTTTTCTCATAGTTATTAAACCCAACTTGATCTGGTGGTTCGACTGGTCAAGTCGGTGAACTGGTCATTGAACCAGGCCGAATTGTTGATTCAAACATTCCTACAAGTGAATCGTTGACTTTTTAACGGATTGACGGTTTAATCGGTCAATCCGGTGAACCATTCGTTTTTATAGGGAACCCAGTTTACATGTTAAAAATTTTTAGATGTGATGATTTGAACCCTAACTTCTTGTATATATGCAAATGCAATTACCACTACAGCAACAACTCATTTATTGATTGCTTAGTCTTTTTTATATTATCTATTAGACTTTTATCCTTATTTTATTTTTTTAAAAATAAAATTTATTTGGAATCTTTTAATAAATTTTATTACTCCCCAAACTCTATAAATTATGAAATGAATATAAAACATAACATATCACACAATTCATTCTAATATCGTTTAATAACTATCATAATAATTACACACAATTCATGTCTAATAATCTTTTGCACCTAAAATTCATAAATAAACTAGATAATTACACTTCAATAAAATTTTATACTTGAAATTTGATAGATTACTAATTGAATTTAGGTTTTATTAATTTTTATAAGAATTAATGATTCTATAATAAATTAGACAAATTCAGCATTTACTATGACATAATTTATTATAGTTTTAACTATATCAAAAATTATGAAATATAATATTTAAATATATTTAGTGACCCACCGGTTGAACCACTCACTCACTGGTTGAATCAGTAACTCATTCACCCACCTCTTTCGTCAGTTCCCTTTTGAGCCGGGTTTAATAACTATGGTTTTTCTAGTCGAACTTTGGGAAGAAAACTGAAAATTGAGTGGCCAAGCTGATTTAACTTGAGACAATAATTCATGGTGTCAGTAAATCAGAGCTATAGGCTTTGCCATTGTGTTCCCTTCTCACAAGTAGGATTAATCAAATCAAGCTTCTGGGGTCAATACCATGATTTGGAGCAAGGGAACATGCACAGCGAAGGATAATGTCCAGAAGTTTCTTCAGCTGTTTGTTAGAACTCGCCTGTCATTTGTGGACTCTCAGCAGCTTTACCTCCAACAAACAGGACAACATTAGCTTTAACAACGAATGCAAAAGCTACAGTTGCAATAAAAGCTATAATCTTCTGTGTCCATCCAATCATCCTTTACTCCGACCGTATGCAAAGATAGGTTAGTCCAACCCATCCGTTGGCATACCTATGACACATCGTAAATTAGATCCTCTATAATTTTATAACTTTTCTTGAAGTTTGCTTGGTCTTGTCAGATGTAACTGCAAAACTTGATTGTTGTACCCAAACATACAATAAAACCAGAAAATAAGTGTAATTCTTGTTAAAACTCAGAATGAGAATGGCTTGGAAATTTATTGATGTTTGTAAGATGTCGGAGTGTACACAGCGCATTTACCAGATTTCCTTGTCTATTTGGATGGAAGTGTTACTCGCTATGTCATAAAACGTTAATTGATCATCCCACCAAATTCTTATCCTTCTTATTGCATCATTACATACCCCAAACATTAGTTGGCACTCAAATAGGACAAAGTTGCGGGGGCTAAGGAAAGATAAGAAGTTCACATGGTACAGTAAACTGATTCAACATTGCATGACCACAAAGCAGAAATCATTAATCATTAACATATCTAGTCTATTGGGAATGCAAGTGTTTCCAATTGATTTCAATTGCTGATGTAGCGTGCTACCATTGGTCAAAATGTGATCGTCACTCATGCGTTTCTCATGTGCCAAGAGTTTTGTTCGAGGGTTTCTCGTCTTCTTTTCACCTCATTCCACTCCAAAGCTGCTCTCCTTTCCATTTTTGTATTCTTTTCTTTGTTCCTTTGTTCCTTTTTGTTGTTTTTTAGTTGGTCTTCCCCTCCCCTTTTCCCTTTCTACTCTTTTCTATTTTTAATTATATGATTCTAACTGATTTTTTTCCCTTGTTAGAATTAGTCTGGATTTGAAACTACGAAATGCATGAGACATAGAAATCATCTTGATCGGTAAGCTCCAATATTTCCCTAAATTTTTACAATTCCCTTTATTCAAAAGAGAGAAACATTTTTCGTACCAGGATTTGTTAATCTTTTGATTAATAACCCAAAGGTTTGAAATACTATTAGTCTTTGGGCCAAAAAAAAGGAAAGCCACAACAAAATCTCCATCCTAACCCATCCAAAAGCACTGAAAGAAAGTTAGAAGTATTTGTAAACCCAGAGACCTGCTGTTTTTTCTTTTCTTCTTGAGTATGCTTTTAAGTTTGTGTTTGGCCTTCTTGTTTTTCTTCTTAAAGTACACCCTCGTCTCGTACAAAATAAACAGGCATTCAAGTAACAAGGTACAAGTACAGATAACCAGTTTAGCAATAATCCAGGGAAATAGTACACTCATCAGTTTAAGTACAGATGCTTCAAAAGTTTTCACCCAAAGAGGCTTTAATCGCCAAGAAACCCTAAAAGAACCAAGGTAAAACAATTGAGATTTCCACATCCAAAACCTAGTAATCGGAATGCACAGGAGCTCGGCTACAAGTCGTATGCCTATGCAAATAAACTACAAATGCAAAAAAATAAAAGGTAACTTTTGAGTAGCAAAGTAATAGTTGATCCTAGGGACAAGAGTGACCCCAAGACCCTTCACTTCAACCTAAAACCATACCTACAACGATTTACTAATCCCAATTTGAGGTGGGAAAATGAGAGTAAGGACAATTCTAGGAAAACAAGATTTTTCAGTTTTGCACAACTCTATATGA